ATAATATGGTAAAAATTATTAATTTAATTATTTATTCTCTATTATTTATATATTAACTATTTTTTAAAATAATAAAAAAATTTTTATTATTAATAATTCACAATAATACTAAAAATTATTAATTAATAATAATTTATTTTTTTGCCTTAAACATGGAATTTCAATTTAAGTGTGAAAAATAATTAAGAGTTTTTAAGAGTTATAAATGTCAAAAATAATATGTTAATATTATAACCACAAATAAATTTAACATTTTAGGCAATATTTTTGGTTATCACCATGATAACATCGACAAATGGTTCACCCTCGACCATTGGTGCGTTTGTCCTATTGTTTTAAATTAAAGGAGAATAAATTCTTAAGACATCCCTCGAGGCCAATTTTTGAGTTTTTAATTGTTTATAATTTTTATTTTCAAATTTCAATCAAAGTTAACAAATTAACACAATTTTTTAAAAACGGACGTTTATTTTCTTAATCCGTTACTGCACATGCTCTAAATCAGTTCAAATTAATCCAATATTACCAGCAGACAATTAAAAACCTATAAAGTAATATATTTCAATTGTCATAAACAACATTAATTAACAAATACTTAACTCTGATTCCTCTCCAATAAAAAATATTTTTTCCACATTTTCTTTTTAATTTTAGTTCATTTGAAGAATATTTTTCCTTTATGATTAAAAAATAACCTATTTAAATTGTTATAAACAATATTAATTAACAAATAGTTAACTTATGATCCTGTCCAACAAAAAATTTTTGTTACAAATTTTCTTTTTTACATATATCCGTGGTCTTTTAACATTATCTAAATAAAAAAGTAAACGTGAAAAAAAAATTTTGGTGGAAAGGAACAAAAATTAACTATTTGTTAATTAATATTATTTTTAACCATTTAAATAAGTTATTTTTTAAACAAAAAGGACACATATTTTTAAAATGAACTTAAATTAAAAATTAGACGTGAAAAAAAATTTATTTGGTGGACAGGAACATAAGTTACATAACTATTTGTTATTTAATATATTGTTTATAACAATTTAAATAAGTTATTTTTTAATCAAAAAGGACAAATATTCTTTAAATAGACTTAAATTAAAAAGAAAAGGTGAAAAAACATTTTTTAGTGGAAAGAAATCAAAGTTAACTATTTGTTAATTAATATTGTTTATAACAATTGATTTAAATTACTTTCTGCTTTATTAATTGTGTGGTGGTCATATTGTATTAATTTGAACTGATTCAAATCATATGCAGCAACGGAATAAGAAAATAAGCCTCCTTTTTTGAAAAATTGTATTAATTTGTTAACTTTGATTGAAAATAAAAATTAAAAACAATTAAGAACTAAAAAATTGACCTTAAGGGATGTCTTAAGAATTTATTTGCCTTTAATTTAAAATAAAGAATACTGAAACCGGTTAAGAATTGTAGGCTGTAGACAGTTTTGAACAGTAAATTGTAAAAAAAATTCCATTGTGCGCTGTTTGTATAGATCCTTGGGCAAACCCGGCCTGGTCCTGGTCGGGGCCACGAAGTCGGGGCCAGATCATGAAAACCCGACCGGGGCCAGGGCGGTAATCGGGAACAAAAGTGGCGATTTCTGCACGGGTACCTATAGTATATGAATAATGATATAAAAGAATTTATTTTATAATTTAAATAACAAATTTCTATTTTTTGCTAAAGCTTTCACGACCCAACGTTGGGTCGCAAACAGTCTGGGCCATCTTTTTTCACGACCCAACGTTGGATCGCAAACAGGCAACGGGTTAAGGGTGTAGTCAGCGTGTTATTTCTAAGCATCACTGTCTCGTTGAAAAGTATTAATAAGGTTTTTTTCTTTTTTATTAAGGGGATGTCAGAGTAGGTGCGATTTTGAGGTGCTCATTGAGGCTCTTTGAAAAAATCGCATCGACATTTAGCGGTCACTCCACCTCCTTTACTACTACTCACACATAAGATACAATTTCTATGTGCTTATTGTCTGTCAGTTCTATATCTCTACTCATTCAGGAGTCAAATTAACTAATAATAATAAAAAGATTTTATTTTGGTACAACATTATTGATGAAATTTCATCCAATTGTATCTTTCTGTAATTATTCACGCATTTATAAAAATTATGCGCCCCAATAAAACTTGAGTTAAAAGAAATAATCTATTGACGAATGATATGTGAAACTAAAGTGTAAGAGAAATAGATGAAAATCTCCATTCTCCATACATATAAAGGTACGTCAATATAAGTGTCGATTAAATGTTCCTGATAGATTAAAAGCAGTGCGGGACTAATGATAGCCCGGGGCGCATATTCGATTAGCTCTCTATACTCGAAAAATGTCCCGCGGTTAATCTCGAGGTTGCCGCGGGACGAAATTGCGTCTCTTGGCAACGATGAACTCGACACAACTCGAAAGGCACTTTATTTGCGACGATTTAATTACTCGAATGTCGTCCTTAACACTTGGAGGAGATGGCCCAGAGCAATGTCGAGAAATTCACACTCGACGCGTTGCGAAACACGCTCGATTAACACCCGAGTCACTCCTCAAGCGTAAATTTCAAACTCCGGCATTTCAATCTCAATATTCAATTAATGTCTCACTTTCAACATTTTACTTTTTGGCCACTTTTCATCGATCAAAAGTTGTGCTTTGATCGATTTGAAGTTGTTGTCATTCAGTTTCTGCTTCTTCTTCCACCAATTCTTCATTCTTTGTTCTTGATATTGCTTCTTTTTCTTCTCTACACAGAAAAAGGATTTACTTAAATGCAGTCGCACACTCTTACTGAATTTAAGGTCTAACGTTATAATGTAGGTACTTTAAATGGATACAATATTGAATTGCATCATTTGTACAGTTTTTCAGTACGCTTTTTCTTTCAAAGTGCTTTAAGATAGAGAGTAACTTATTTGCATTTTAAGTAAAACCTTTTAGTGTGTATTCTGTTATTTCTTTTTCTGTTACAATAGTAACATTTTCTTCTTCTACTCCTTTTATTCCTACTTCTATTTCAGTTCGGCTACATTAAAAAGCTACCTTCTCACACTTCCTTTCTACATGTTTCTGTTTGTCTTTTTTAGTTTCTACACTGAGAGACCTTTGGGTCAGCAGCAGACTTTCGATAGGCTGCTACTGACCATTTTGGTGGTACGGTACAGGACTATACTTTTGGGTTGCTGCGGTAAAATTTTGGGCGCGTGACAGTCCAAAAGTTGATTAGCTGCAAACCAATGACGGCATCCCCACTACTTCGGTGAGCTTCTCACCAACATTTTGGACTGTCACGCGCCCAAAATTGTATCGCAGCGCACTAAAACCATAATGGAGCTCTCATACGTTGTTCCGCCGCAGTCCAAAAGGTCTCTCAGTGTAGTACTATTTCTATTTTGTTTCTATTTCTGTTTTAGTTTTGTTTTCTCACCTTTTTTGATTACGATTCTTCTTGTTGTTCTATCTATTGGCATTACATTTTGTGCCATCCGCTTTTTCATCGCACAATTTCGTGCGATCAGCATTGCAAATTGTTTCCAAATTTTTAATGTAATAAATTTTTTGATTTGCAAAAATATAGTCATTATTAGTGTTTATTTTTAGATTCCGATCTGTAACACAAAAGACACAATAATTCTTATAGTTTCTCGAATGGTTATTATATGTCGACAATGACACTTGGGAATATAAACTTAATGTTAATAATACACTTATTTCTGCATTTTGCGGTCGTTAAACCTATAAATATCAGTTATAATAATCTATAAGAGAATAATGTGTCGTTAGTAATTATTTGAATATATGTAAATTTAATCTGAAATATGCTTGGGAGGGGAAAAAAGAATTTTATAATAAGCATATCCTGCGCCATAAGTACACGAAATCAACTACCAGTTTTCTCAGGCCAAGTCCATTTTTTACCATAGTTAAATGCAATCTGGGGACGTTTGAGACAAGCAAAGAGAGAGCCGTTTAATTAAGTTAAAAGAGACGAGTCTCCCACGAGGTGGACGAACAGGATTGCTCACCCTGTCTCTCGTGTCTTGTATTTATGCGAATACACACAACAAGGAGACAATGAGAAATACTTACTCCCTCTAACCGCAAACTTCCCTTCTGTTCATCAATTCACGAAACTTGTTTTTTCAAAAAATACTTTTTCTCTTCCACTTCTTCTTTTTCTTCTTCTTCTTCTTCTTCTTCTATTAATTGTTATTCAAAAAAGAAGGTATTTTCAACTGTGCGCAATAAATTATGCGTATTATAATAACAAAATTTTAACTCGTCATGTGAAACTGTATTTTGTTGAAATTATGTTTCCATTGGAAATTCAGCGAGTGTCATAATTGAATGTTAGCAGAAGGTAATTCTTTATATATAGGAAAATACTATTAAAGAATATTGCATTGCAATGATTCGTTCGTACTCATTGTTGCTTGGTTTGCTTGGAGAGTCAACGGTGGTGGCGGGAGCAGCGAAGCGTGCTTCCACTTTTTGCTCTGCCCTCCTCTCATTGTGACCTCTGGCACACCATTGTTAGACAAGAAGTCACTGCCGCCACTCAAAACTCCCTTTTGTTGCACTTGTTACGTTTTTCTCTCGGGAATAAAAAACAACAACGTACTTCTCTACCCTTATTTACAAAAACCATGTAATTACCCATTTTGACTTACAACTAAAAAAAGAGTGAACTAATTTGTAATTCAAATGATTTTCAGAAGCGAGCATTTATCTTGACTTTATTCAGAAATTATTACTTTCTCTGATTTAATTTTTTGCCAAATTTTCTAAATCTTACACAATTTAGTTTCATCTTTTTGACTTCTAATCGTTCTTGAGAATTTAACTGCGTTCCGGTTGTTAGGTTTTTACTTAACGGTCTCTATATACACATATGATTATAAATTCTCAAAAAACCTAAAATCAAGATTTTGGAGATTAAAGAGAAACGATGAGTCATTTCGAAATTGAATAATTGTTTTCTTTTTCTTACAGGTAAGTGCAACAATGTTGACTTGATTGATTTCTTATCTGCCGACAACCGACGACGACAAACTGTTGGTAAGTCCTCTTTTGTTTCACATATTGCAAGAATATTGATGGTCCGTTTTTGGAGAAGCAAAAATACTGGGAGAGAAAATGGCGGATTGAAGAATCAGAAAAAAAGTTGGCTGAAGGGTTTTTCTCAGCAAAATGGTATTATATATGCTCGCTTTACAAAGCCGAGTAACAATGTATTATGTGACTTTTGGTGCGTATGTGTGCGGGAAACGAGGTTTGGTTGGGTACGTTTGAGGTGTGCTCATGTAGATAAGCTCTGTTAATGACCGGACGTGCGCTCACCCAGCCAGAACTTTGCGAACTTCTCCCCTCGTCTCTTGCTTCACCTCCACCCTCCACCTTCACCTCTCCATCCTTCAACTATTCCAACCCAAGCACCTACCTCCTCCACCTTTGCCACCTTTTATACCTTATGTATTCCTTGTTCGAGGTCCTTCGACGCATCAACGGACACGCCTTTGTACACACGTGTTGCTTCTTTTATTTTTATTTCTCCTCTTTTACAATTTCAAACAGTGATGTTCGTTCCAGATGTGATTTTATATTGATGCTAGTTTATTATTTCTGTCTTGTTCAATCGCAATTAATCGTATGCAATGTATTGAATGCGCGTCTTTTTAATGAGAAATCATGGATTTTATTCTTGAGAGGTAGTTAGTGTGTCAGGGGGACATTTTTATTGCTTTTGTCTTTCAAGGTTTCAGTTTGACCTCTCGAATGTATGAGGTCGAATGTGAATTGGAAAGTCTCTTATGAATGTGGCTTAAGATACTTATGTAGGTAAATCGAAATTAGAGTATTTTGTCGATATTTGACAATGGAATCAGTGTAATAGTAAACAATCCCACCGCTGCCACCGATTCATGACTTCCTCCGTGTAAATGGTATATTCTTTAATCAATATTACAGCTGAAGTAAAGATATCCCAGAATCTTATTTATTTATTTTTGCTTCTGATTCTCAACTTAATCAACTTTTACTGCACTGAGAGAAAAATATGTTACAGGATAACATAAAGATTGTACAAGGTACCATCTTTAGTGATACAAATACATACACCTATCTAGATTGATTCACATAAAATCCAGATTGTTCGGAGCAACATATTGATTGTACTGCACGGAGAGAAAAAAAAAGTAAACTGCTCTACCTGCCGGTAGAGTAAGCAGGAAGTAAGCAGCTCTATTTTTGTTTTTATTTTTTTTTATTTTTGTTTTTTTTTTAAATGACTTCAGGCTTAGCCAACTGTCAGAACACACACTCTTATACACCAACTTGTTTTTGCGTTTCTACAGAACGAATTTGAGGTTAGGAGTACTCGCATTTGCCTGGACCACCCGTCTAATGGGTTTTCTCGCCAGTGGAGAGGGAAACTGTAGAAAACCTCTCCGAGTACAACCGGTTTATCGACAGTCGCGTTGTAATAGTGTGTACCGGACAATAATCGACGGTGCACATCATTATACTTCGACGTCAAACCTCCCGCTCAGATTATCTCACGTGCCGGAAAAATCCCAGGCTAATGGGCGCGAACCAAGTACCCTTGGTCCGCCCACCGAGCCAGGCATTCATCCGACCGAGCTAATCTGTCGGTAAGCAGCTCTATTGATGTGGAGAAGAGAACGGATACTCCTCAAAAAGTGAAACCGTTCGACGTTTGCGGCGCCACTGCTGCTTTTTGTACAGGGAAAACAGCGCTCTCATGCCAAATCAAACGTCTTTTGTTTTACATAGTTTCTTCTTTCTTACCTTCCTCAGTTATTGATACTGTTTCTTCTTTCATTACTTTTATTTCTTCTTTCTTAATATCAGTTCTAGTTTTTTCTTCTGTCGTTTGTCAATAAGCGTATTATGATATATATCACTAAAGTAAAGTATCTTTTTTTTATTGTCACTATCAAATCTTTTAGCTGATTCATACAAATTGCATTGTTTTCAGATTCCTATACTTTTCTAAATAGGCAAAAATAGAGTAAACCAAACATTATCAACAATTACTCAGCTCGCTGTTACTGATATTATCGCTACTTTTATTCCACTTCTGTTGCCCAATTCTGTAACGTTCCTTTAAACTGTTTTTTAACTTACACTCCACAATATGAATAAATTTGTAACGTGTTATCCAAAAATGTTTCTATGTGTGCATGTAAGAATTTATAAAATCCGTTTTCAATGGACATTGTGAGACTTGAGTCACGGCTACACAATTTGCATTATGAATAAAATACATTCTTGAAATTTATGTTTGCCTTCGATTGAACGTTAAGTAGATAAAAGATAAAAAAAAGTGCAAACAGTGTATATCGGCTCAGGATCGCGATTGCCTATAAGACAGAAAGCAACAAATATTAAGTTATTACATCCTGAAAAACTTATTAGAACTAATACTGTCGTAAATTTATAACCATTGCTCGTAAAATGACTTGACACATTATTAGAGTGTATGTAAAAGTTCGATTTGCATTTGTCCTTTCTCCTGCTGTAAACACACACACACACACACTTACATCTGTTGCACCTGCACATTACAAAGTTTGAAAGAGAAATGGAAATCTGATACCTCGCTATCGAAATTAATTATTGTAAATCTTTCTGAAACCTAATGAAACTAATTACAAGCGTTTTTTTATCTGTTTACTCAACTGTATAAATTCCTCAGTGCAAATTCTATTAACGAATCATTTTATATTAAATGAACTTACCACTTCATTAAATATTCGCTCACAGGGAAAAGAAAACTTCGTCACTTGGTGTTTTAAACATAAAATATCAAGTTAAATTTCCTAAGTTTTTTACGAAAAAATGCCTTGTGATAATTTTTTCTTTTAAAGTTTTTATTGTTTTCTAAGAATATTTCCATTCTGAAAATTGAAAAGTGAATAAAGAGGAAAGTAGATACGCATATAATGGAACTATGCAAGGACGCGTACGTTACGTGAAAAAAGGCAAGAGAGAGAAAGACAGAGAGACCCCTTTTTGAAACTTTATGCCTCGGTGAGTTCGACGTCGTTTTCTTGGACAGCAAAAGTCCGTTATATAATGACTTCTCTGCTTGTACTAATAACCAAGCAGATGCTTTTTCGAATATGTGAATCGTGGATAAATGTTGGTTATCGTCGCTTCTGTCGTTCATAATTTTTAACTACCATCCAAAGGCTTGTAATTTTTTACCATGATTATTGGATTCGCCTTCTAAACTCAACCATAACCCCGTATGCACAATTCAATTTTTTTCTTTTCAATCTTAAATTAATCCCCTCGACTTTTCATCAATTACTTAAATTCTCTTCATAAATCCCATTGTCTTTGAATTAATTTGAAATAAATTATTGTTTAGTTTTGGAAAGAAGCAAGATGTTGTAGAATATGCCTATCGGCGGCACAATCAGTTTCTTGTTTTACAAATAGTACATCAATAGGGAGTTTCTTTTTATAAAATCCAGTATTGCTTCTTAACGACATTTGGAGTGATCTATTAAGTCAGGGTTATGGAGACTGGGAGCATAATTCTATCGGCAACGTCAAGTAAATCGATAGGTGATTTTGCTCATGGCGGAAACTATCCGTTACATGGCGACAACTATAAACGCGAAAGGCACGCTCACAAAGTCAGGTGCGAGAAGGCACCCTTCTATTTTCTCGAGACCGGTCCATTACACGTTCCTTCCTATGCAGCATCTGAATCACGGGAGCCGGCGAAAAGATAAAATCAGAGGTACTTACAGGCTTGCAATGAAGACAACAATTCTACGACGGATGTATCGATTCATCCAGGAAACGATGGCGATCCACCTACCATTTCTTATTGTCCGCGGTGGCATCTTGTGAGTGCAGAGGAAAAGGGATTCGATGTCGGTAAATTCTTTTGATAGTCATCGTCAACCTGAAGAGACAATAGTCCTGTTTGTAAATCTAGTGTTAGGTAGTGCTTGCGACATGTTAATCTTTTGGTTTCGTAGGCATCTGTCTTCTGTTTAGGGGCAAAATTGATTGGGATTTGTCTTCGTTACTGCAGTGCTTCAAATGGTTTCTTTCTCGTTCCTAGTTTCATTTTTTTCTTAAATTTTTTATTTCTGTTACTGTCCTTGCTTTTACTTACTTTTCTCTTAATTTCAAATTTTATCTTCTTCATGTTTATTCCTATTCCCCAAAATTGTAATGATTATTTCTTATTCAGTTTCTCATTTCAATACCTTTTTTGTTGCTGCTTCTGTTCTAGTTTGTTGTTCCTTATAATTTGAGACGTAATAGAGGCATATTAAAACGTTTTAAAAGTCGTCTGTTTTTGCAATTGTTTGTTTTTGTCTTTTATTCCTGTTGATTTTATTTTTGCTTCGCAGCTTCTTCTTCTCTCCTACCGTTTCACAGTAATCTAAGAGTTATCAAAAAGCGTTGCAGCTTGATTTAACATAAAAAAAGATTGAACTAATCAATTTTTGGATTAATTTTTTCCATGAAAAAAAAATGGGTCTAAATCATTAATCAATCTTTTACGTTCGAGAAATAGTAATTATAGTGAAGGAGAATAAAACGAAAACATTCGGACACATAGTTTTTAAAAATTAGTTTACTCCAACGTTTCGAAATCTAAATGATTTCCCCTTCATGCACGGAGAGAAATCTGCTGTTAATATTACTCGAAAGAGCACATTACTTAAATTGCTTAACGTTTCTCTTATATTTTTAGCATCGATTCATATACTTATTGTAAAAATACTTTCAATGCAATAAGCATAAGAGACAGTAGCTAATTTTGCACGAAATCTTTATTATAAATACAAAGAGAACGTGCTATAAAAGTATTAGATTCTTCTTATAAGAATCGCTCGAACTCTGACTGATTTTCAGGCGGACTTTATACAACACAATCTTACCTGTGTATACGCACATATAACTCACACACACACACATATATTTCTCTGGACAGTTTTGTCGTCTGGTAAAACATTATATATTATATGTAGTATTTAATACTTGTTGCTGTTATAAAAAGATAATAT